TACGTAGTGTTTCGAGATGTTGTTTTTGATGAAGTTTCCTCATTCTATGGGCCACCTCAAGTTTTAGTTGAGCAAGAAGGTGGGAGTTCCTCCAAGAGTGATAAACCAGCTCTGAGTAAGGAAAAAGGTCCTGAAGAAGAGATGCAAGGTGAAAGGGGGAGCACTGATCAAGAGGAGGATGAGGAGGAACATCATGGTTCCACGGCTAGTCAAAGGCCTAAAAGGGACATCATTAAACCTGCTCGGTTCAGAGATCCAAAGTTTGTTACTACCTTCTCGTGCTACTTTGCAGCTCCATTAGATGAAGATGAGCCAACATCTTATGATGAAGCAAAAGGTGTTGACGAGTGGGAAAACGCAATGAAGGAGGAGATGAATGCTCTCATGAAGAACGAAACTTGGGATTTGGTTCCAAAACCCAAGAATGCCCAACCTGTTTCTTGTAAATGGGTGTACCGGATCAAGCGCAAAACAGATGGAAGCGTTGATAGATTCAAAGCAAGGTTGGTTGCTCGGGGATTCTCTCAAAAGTATGGAGAAGACTATGATGAGACCTTCAGCCCTGTAGCCAAGATGACTACGGTACGTTCTCTCTTATCTTTGGCTGCAAGTTTTGGTTGGAAGTTATGGCAATTAGACGTGAAGAATGCTTTTCTATATGGAGAACTTGACAAGGAAATCCTGATGGAGCAGCCACTTGGTTTTATATCACGAGAGCATCCTGATTATGTGTGTAAGCTGAAGAAGGCCTTGTATGGGTTAAAACAAGCTCCACGAGCCTGGTATGGAAAGCTTGCTCAGTTTCTTCAGTTCTGCGGTTATGTGGCATCAAACTCTGATCCGAGTCTATTCTTCAAGAAGAATGGAGGAGTCCACGTGGTAGTTCTCCTTTACGTGGATGATATGATAATTACCGGGAATGATGATGCAGAAATTACTCGTTTACAAGAGGATATGTCGATAAGGTTTGAGATGAAGAAGTTGGGAGAGCTCAACAACTTTCTCGGTTTGGAGGTGGAAAGGGTAAAGGGTGGAATATTCATCGGCCAACAAAGCTATGCAAGAAGAATCGTTGAGAAGTTTGGAGTACACGAAGGAAAGACACGCTCTACTCCAATGGATGTCAACATAAAGCTTAAACGCGATGAAGGGTCCTTACTACCTGATCCTCGGCCTTATCGCTCTCTTGTAGGAAGTCTTTTATACTTAACCATTACAAGACCTGACATTGCCTTCGCGGTAGGTCTTGTAAGTCGGTTTATGCAGGCACCAAGGAAGCCACATCTAGAAGCGGCAAAGAAGATATTGAAGTATGTGAAGACAACTCTTGGCATGGGTCTGGTGTACAAGTATAATGCCAAGGTCTCTCTTTATGGCTTCACGGATGCTGACTTTGGTGGAGATCTTGATGATCGGAAATCAACTTCAGGCTATGTTTTCCTATGTGGGAACACAAGTGTCTCATGGTGCAGTAAGAAGCAAGCAACGGTGTCGTTATCTACAACTGAAGCAGAGTATAAAGCGTCAACTCTAGCAGCTCAAGAGTGTATTTGGCTTCAGAGACTCCTTGAAGATCTGTTCGAACCAATCAATAAGCCAATTGCAATTTATGGAGATAATCAAAGTGCGATCAAGCTGGCCAATAATCCGGTGTTCCATGGGAGGACTAAACACATTGAGTTAGAGCATCACTTCATAAAAGAGAAGGTGCTTGATGGGACAATTGAAGCTTTGGAAGTTTGAAGCGAGGACAACGTTGCGGATATCTTCACCAAGTCATTACCAAAAGGTCAGTTCGAGTTACTTCGCTCGAAGCTCGGGATGACTGACAAAATCAAGTTTAAAGGGGAGTATTGAAGTTAAACTTGATTTTGGGTTAAGCTTAATTTTGGGTTTATAAAATAATTATTAGTTATTAGATTAGGCCCAAAATTAAGCTCAAGTTCTAGAATCTCTAGAAACATCACTAAAAATCATCATCTTTCTTAAATGTTCTAGAGAATTCTATTAGTTAAATATCTAGATAATTCTATAGATAATTCTAGATGTTGTAGTTAAAATTCTAGATATTATTGTAGAAAATTCTAGAGATTAGGAGAATGTTTGTAAGATATTTTGTAATAAGTGGAGCCTATAAATAGCCCACTACTCCATCATTTGTAAACAAAAGAAGTTGAACAAATAAAGAAAGAGTGTTCTTCATAAGTTCTCTTATTCTCTCTAAAGTTCCTTCAAGTTTTCTCTAAGTATTCTTTCATCTTATTATTCATACTTAGAGGGTCTTTGTTTCTTTCGGATCTTTCGGGTATTACGGTCTTGGGCTAGTGCTTGGCACTATCGATGTTTTCTTTACAATCACCATCCTTCGGAGAACTGGGGCTCATCCTGACATTGGAGCCCAACATTGTCACAGGGAAGAGCCTCCACAAGAGACTCTTGGTGCATCTCAACAGACTTAACCGCAATGGTTAGTCCAGAGGGAGAAAAGATCTGAAGAGATCAAACAAAACAAGAACTGTGAGAAGGAGAAATAAAAACGTGTGTGAGCACACTCATGTAAGCAGCAAGCACACAACACAAGATGAGCCAAGGCAATAAACAGAACATGACAATACCTATTGTTTTTTAAGAAGCCATGTGTCTGCAGAAAATATAGCACTCTTAGAAATATTATTTATTTATATTATAAGAATAATTTTATTATATTTAAAATATATACAAAATTTAGAAAAATATCTCGCAGCATAGCACGGGTATATACCTAGTCTATACTATAAAAAATTGTTAACTCTCTCTATATGAATGTCACCTTATCATTTTAGTTTATTGTAAAAATGACATGTGTCATTTTTTAAATTTAGTGATACAAATTATATAAAATACAGTTAATGCATAAATTTAATGGATTATTAATCATGATATTAAAATAATATAAAAATATGAAGTATTAGATAATATATTTTAATAACAATATATACTTTATATCCAAAAATAATTATTAAATATCTATTTTATGATAATTTTTAAAAATCATTAAAAATATTTATGTTTCTTATTTAAGAGTGTTTTCTTATTTCTAATTAATATCATAAGTTATTATTATAAAAAAAATTATACAAATATAAATATAAAAATTATTTGATATTTTGAACCTAAAAATGTTTGACAAAAAATGTATACAATATTATAATAAACTTTAAAATAATTTCTTTATAAACTAATAAATATTTGATAATTTATTTTATTCAAACTTGATCCATTAATAATTTTTATTAATAATAAATCAAAGTCCTAATATATTTATTTATAAAAATTTTAATGCAATTATAAATCAATTATGTAAGCTCATAAAAATATAAAACGTCAGTATTGTTATTGTGTAAATCTACGCCGTGAACAAATACTATCTGTTAAAAAGAGTCGTCTCTACCTTTATTGTGCTTGAAGAGTTTTGCTAATTAATTTTTGTTATATAGTACTTCTCTGATTTGCAGTATATCCATTTAATATATTCTATGTATATAACATATAACATATTTCACTTTTCCTTATCAATAAACTATTTATCATATATATAGTTAATATCCATATAATATATAATTATATATTGTATGTTTATTCAAATATACAACTTCCTTAAAAAATTTTAAATATACGATAAAATAAATTATAACTACACTTTTTAACAAATTATATTGTGATAAAAGATCCGTGCCCGCAAAAATCTGCGATGCGCATATATGTTTTCACAAAATAATTTATTAAAAAGTCTAGTTACAATTTATTTTATCGTATATTTAAATTTTTTTCAAGGATATTATGTATTTGAATATATATACAATACATATTTATATATTATATGGATATTAACTATATATGTGATCAATAGTTTATTGATAAGAAAATGTGAAATATATTATATATTGTATATATAAAGTATATTAAATGGATATAGTGCAAAACAGAAAAGTATTATATAACAAAAATTAATTAGAGAAACTCTTCAAACACAACATAGATATAAATGACTCTTTTTAATAGGTCGTACTTGTTCACGGCGTACATTTACACAATAGTAATGCCGTGATTTTATATTTTTATGAGCTTAACTAATTGAATTATAATTCTAATTTATACAGCTGCATTAAATATTTTATAAATATATATATTAGGACTTTGATATCTTATTAATTTTAAAATTATTAATGGATCAAGTTTGAATAAAATAAATTATCAAATAATTATTAGTTTATAAAAAACTGTTTTAAAGTTTATTATAATATTGTATAAATTTTTCTTCTAACTTTTTAAAGTTCAAAATATCAAATAATTGTTATTTTTATATTTGTATAATTGTTTGTATAATAATATCTTATAATATTAATTAAAAATAAGAAAACACTCTTAAATATAAAACATAAATTTTGTTAATAATTTTTAAAAACTACCAAAAAATATATATTCAATAATTGTTTTTGGATATTATGTATATATTATTATTAAAATATATTATCTAATTATTCATATTTAATACATTAAATTTATGTATTAACTGTATTTTATATAATTTGGATCATTAAATTTTAAAAAATGACACATGTCATTTCTACAATAAACCAAAATGATGAGGTCACACTCATATGGAGAGAGTTAGTCATCTTTTATGGTATAGATTACTATGCCATCAATTTGTAATGAAAAATAGTTAAAAGAGTTACACTAATTTTTATAAAAATAAAAATAAATAAATTTATTTCAACAATTTTTTCTTACATCGATCCATGTTTAACATTATTTTCCATCGTGAATCATTTTGGGTTATTTCTTTTATAAACAATTATAGTTGTGCAGGAAGACGTAAGACTGATGTACGACATGGGTTTAAGTGCTTTCCGACTCTCCATTTCATGGCCGCGGCTTCTACCAAGTGCGTGCTTGTGTGTTGTATATTTGGAATTTGTGGCCTTGCATAATGTTTTAATCATTGTTTTATATTAGATGGAAGAGGTCATGTGAATCCAAAGGGTTTACGGTTCTACAAAAACCTCATAAACGAGCTTACAAGTCATGGTAAGAATTAAGATTATGCATCTAATCATTGTTGTGTCTTTGAAGATCATGAATTTGGGTTTGTTATGGTTCTCTGTTCGGCATGAACGGGGATAACAGGAATTGAACCGCATGTTACGTTGTATCACAATGATCTCCCTCAGGCTCTTGAAGATGAATACGGAGGATGGATTGATCGCAAAATCATGTAAAGCCAACATTTTCTTGCAACTACATTGTTCTCATAATTACTCTCTAAGTGAAAGTGTGTGTTATCATATATATGATCATATGTTGCAGCAATGACTTCACAGCTTTTACATACGTTTGCTTCAGAGAGTTTGGCAACAAAGTGAAATTCTGGTCAACCATTAATGAGCCCAATATGATAGCACGGGGAAGTTATGATTTGGGAGTTATGCCTCCTAACCACTGTTCTCCCCCATTTGCATTGGTTAGCTGCTCCAGAGGAAACTCTTCAATAGAGCCATATATTGCACTACATAACATGTTGCTTGCACATGCATCTACCGCAAGATTGTATAAGCAAAAGTATAAGGTAAGCTTTACACACACACATTTACCACTGATCTCTTGAGTGCTCAATTTACCTCTTTCTCATTTTTTATATGTCTCTCGTGTGATGGTGTAGGATAAGCAAAATGGGTCTCTAGGTATAACCTGTTTTGCATGCATACTGGGTGTTTCCTTTTACTAGCTCTGAAGAGGACAAGATCGCAACTCAGAGAGCCAAAGATTTCTATTTAGGCTGGTTTGTTGAACACAATCATCTGAGAAAATTGGGTCTTATTTTCAAATTCTTTTCCGGCTGGTCTGATGAAAAGGGCAACAACATTTCATCTGTGAATTTCCAGGGTTCTGAATCCACTGGTGTTTGGAGATTATCCTGACGTGATGAAGAGAATCGTTGGAAAAAGATTGCCAAGTTTTTCGGAACAAGAATCTGTTCTCGTTAAAGACTCATTCGACTTCTTGGGACTCATACGCTACACAACAAGATACATCAAACAATTATCCATTTCCGGCCAAAGGAGATTATACTTCAGACATGAATGCTTCAGTGAGCCGTATGCTTTTCTTTCCTGGGATCTTTATATTTTTTTTCAATTTACCATACACGAGTCCAATGCTGATTCTCTATGTCATTTTTCTGGGACAGTGTATGGGAATTTTACACTGCCCGAGGTGTGTTTCCAAAGACTTGCTAATTTAAGAAACCAGTTTTGTCACCCTAACACCATTTTAATCTTGAGTTTTCTTGTCACATATCCACAGTAGATTGATGTGCTTCCTTGGGGTCTTGAAGGAGTGTTGAATTACATTAAGCAGAACTATGGCAATCCTCCTGTCTACATTCTTGAAAACGGTCTGTCTCTATCTCTCTCTCATATTTTTCTTTTACTTAGTTACATATGGATCTTGAGAGTTTCTCTGTAAATACATACAATCAGGTCGACCTACCAACCACCATTCATCGCTTCACGACGTGGAAAGAGTGGAATACCTTCATGCTTACATTGCTGCCGTGCTCAACTCAGTGAGGTGTGTGAATATGCTCTTTGAAAATGACTTGGCCTGAAATCGTAATATTTAAACTTTGACGGTTTATTGAATGTAGGAATGGGTCAGATACAAGAGGCTACTTCCAATGGTCGTTTATGGATTTGTACGAATTTTTTCAATTACAACTACACATGAATTATACCATGTGAATTTCAGCGATCCGGAACGTAAAAGATCTCCAAAAACCTCTGCTCTTTGGTACTCTGCTTTACTGAAAGGGTCGATCGTTAGTTCACAAGTGAACCTGTCGGTGTCTTCTTATCATGGTTTGGTTTTGCTTCTCAGTAATTTTATTTCTTTTGGTCGAAAGCTTCTCAGTAATATAGGAATTGGAAAATCTATGTAAACAAATAAATTGTGACAAAGAAAATAATTCGGAGGAAACTGAGGAGTAAAAAGAAATTATTTTAGTAGCATGCTTATCCTGCTTATTTTAAAGTGGTAAAACCCTAACCAAACTAGATGCCTTGCCGTCAAAATATAGAGGAGGGGATCCACAGGTACCTAAGAATTCACTTGCTCGTTTTTTTTTTGAACAAAGGCTTCACTTGCTCTTTTTTTTTAATTCAATTTCTTCTCTAATTCTACGTAGAAACTGTCTTTCATATCAATGAGCATTACATCATCCATTTCAATTGATTCTTGTTTGTCAATACGAAGATATACGTTCCGTCTTTTTTCTTATCATCCCAAAAACGAAAAAGAAGAAATGATTTAACAAGACCCATAATAAAAAAAATAGTGGCAGTAAAATAAAAATAATAAAATAATATAAAATATAGATTTATTTGAAAGACAATTATAGACATGACTTTAAAAAAAATATATATATATATATATATTTTATAAATACTAACATTATCTTTTTAGTTATTTTGATATATAGACTAATGGCAAATTAATTGGTCATATAATTAAAATACTTACTTATGATAAATTAAATGTAATTCAATAGTATATTGAAAGCATATTACTAGTATACTTTTATTACAAATTTTTTTTTATCAGAAAACTCTTTTCACAGAAGACTCTTTTCACATCCGCACTACGCGGATTTAGTTTGATATATTGTTTACTTGCAGCTAATAGCCAATGCTGTTTGAGATTATGTCTTTCTAAACTTGTCGTTAAATTCAATTTAGCCGTCTCCTCATCTTATAATTTTAAGACTCGGTAAAATAAACAGCAACATCGGTTTCTATTTCATATAGTAGATTGTAGATTATGAGAATAATGTTTGGTGTTCTGTCTATATATAGATTGTGAAACAAGCTAACAAATTTTATTGGACACAACAACCTTACTCAAGAATAAATACTATGCAGTTTTCGCAGATTAAAAATCTTGAAAAGATTAGAAAGAAAAGCTAAATAAATCACTATTTACCAATGTATTTGGTTATTTTTCATTCTTGTGTTACATGACACCAGACGGATTCAGAAAGGAGAAGTTGAAGTGTGGAACCTGTTGTACCAAAAATTTTGTGTATTGTGTTTTGTATTTTGCATCTAGTTACGAGCATGACATCCGTAGAGCTTCAAAATAATTTAATATCTAAAAATGTAATTAGGTCCTCACAAAATAATTCATCAAATGATTTATCTATAATATTATCCAATAGGTGGCAATCCTCTAGCTGAAGCAGCACTATCACGCACGCCAAAACGCTGAAGAAGCACAAACTAAGCTCATGAATAAGGACCAAACACCACCAAAATAAAATGAGGACTTTACGGAAAAAAAAATTGGGAATGATTGATATAAGCAGTAGAATATTTACAGAACTTCATTCATGAGAGGAAGTAAAGGAAACTTGGAATCAAATATCTCCAGAAGGATTATGGAGTGATTTCCTAATTTTTCTATAAATTATTTCAAACAGTGAGTTCCTAATTTTTCGCTACAACACCAATAGAAAGCCTTAAAAATCAGTATAACGCTTATTACTTTCATGCAAAGTGATGATTCTCTTCTCGAACTTCACCATTAGCTGAAGAATCATTCAACAATAGACACTCAAAAATCACTGAAGTTAAGAAAACATAGATTGAGGAGTCGAGTGCAATTATACAAATAATTACTCAGTGATATCATCCACCTGACGTAAGATCCCAACAAGTCTTGAGAATCGCCTTGGGGTATTTACGATCGACGTTTATACACAAGAATTTCAACAACAGGTTGGCTAGTAGTACTGGTACATATGAAAATTTTTAACACTTGTCTCCTTGCCATTAGAATAGCAACAACGGAAATGACAGACAAATAAAAAGAAATGAGGGTTTATTATTGAGAATGAGATAAAAGATGTTAAAATCAGCGCGAGAAGAGAGAGAGATTACACACGGTATTGTCACGGCTGTTTATTATCAAAATTCGTATTTGAAGGTGGAATTAAGATTGAGATTGTGATTCTAAGAGCCAATCTTGTTGATATCTAAGTGTTGAACCAGAAAATCACCACTAAGTATTTGATTAACATTTGTGGGTTTTGGAGCATAAATTTTTTTATTAATAGCTGTAAGCGAAGCGATTACAAAAGATAGCTTAACCGAGAGGTTATGCCGAGATAAAAAGAAAGTATTTGCGAAGTAAACTAGAAAGCGTTAGAGTTCTTGATTTTAGTTATGCTGCTCTTTAGATTATATGAATTGTTCTCTTCAGCTTCAGGGTCTTCTTATTTATAGGGATAAGAGGTCGGTTACTCCGAACTCCTTTTTTTTTTCCTTTGGTGAATATTTCCATATTTGCAATATGGAAATGTCCCTTATTTTCCGAAGAATATAGAAATTCTCCTTTATCCTCTAAGTCGATCGGATGCTTCTGGACTTCCTAGATTATCCTGAGGAGTTTTTCTTTTATCCGAGCTAGGTCGGCGTGGTCCTCCTGATCCTGATGGGCTTAGGTTATTACTAGAGAAAGTCTTTTAGGAAATGTGCTCATTTTTCCTCTAACAGTAAATCCCCGCTAGTTCGGCGAGACTGATTGTAAATCAGGTCGGCGGATTTCATGAAGTTAAGCGGGTTTGATCTTGCAATAAGCGTTAGCTCGTCAAGAGTGTTTCTTCCTGATGGCCAGCTCGGCCCGATTTTAAGTGGATTTTTCACGTGGCACATTCTCTGAATAAATTATTAAATATTCCGACCCATTAGGGTCTTGCTTTAAGCGGGAAAGGTGAAAGGTTTGCTAGATGGCGAGATTGTGCGAATCTCGACACGCGTCCATTTAGGAAACTGTTGATATTTTCTTCCGATTTCATTACTGAGTATTTATCTCTTCTTTCTTCTTGTTCCAGAAAATTTTACTCTCTCTGAATTTTGCGATAATCTCCTTTGCTCAACGATCCTCTTTCTTCTCCTTTTGATTCTGGATCTCTGTTGAGCGCATCTTTCTAGAGGCATGGGGTTAAGGAAGAGAGACAAGATTCCTTCATTGGACATCGACATCCCCGATTTCCCTCTGAGTAAGAAGCCTAGATCGGAGGCTCCGTTGCAGGATCCAATCGTCGTCAAAGATATTCCACTAAGCGAGCCCGACATGGCTGTTGTGAACGAGCAATCATCTCCAAGAATTCCAACGGAAGATTCGGAGGTCGAACCGCCAATTGAGGAGCAAGACTCCGTCTTTGTGACAGCGGAGGAGCAAGAAATTGACCCTCCAGGTCCGACGAGCAGCTCACCGAAGGACCCAGAAGATGTCGATGAGGATCCCGGTTTCAATCCTCACGAGTTCTTGCTTCGCTGGAGCGGGGATTCCCCGGAAATGCTTAATGAATACTTCACAGCGAATCTGGTCTGGCAATGCAGGGCGAAGCCGAACCAAGGAGCGTCGGTGGAAAAGCTGAAGCGGTTCACTTGCTTCTCTGGAATGGCTCAGCGCTTCGTGCAGGGTTTAGGCATGTGTGCATCTTTGATTGACTCGTATGATCGAAAATCAGTGCGAGAAGAGAAGAAAGACGAGGAACTAATAATCAAAGATCGAGAGCTTCGTGATGCTTTAGCGAAGATCAAAGACCTTGAGCGCGAGAAGCTCGGTGTGGAGCTTAAATATCAAGCTCTTAAGGTCGAATCTGCAAAAGAAAGACAACTCCACAGGGAAAGTTTGGAGAAGATCCCGGCCAAAAAAGCCAAGAAAGCAGCTGCCGCCGAGAAGGAGTTCCGTAGTCAACAACGCAAGTTTGTTGAGCTTGTCGTCGATCTGATGTACCGACGTTCATGCGAGTGGTACGACCCCCACATTGAGCGGATTAAGGCGTTTATGGCGCAAGAGCCCGACATCCACTATCTCGAGCTCAAGATCGCTGATGCCAAGGCGAGAGCGGATTGCTACAAGCGACTGAGGTCGGTGGGACATGAGGTTCCAGGTAAGGAATTTATGTCCCACTCTGCTACTGTCGATCGTTTGAAGATGGAACGTCACAGGATCAAGGATGCTCCGCTTACTCAGGATGACTTTGCCGCGCCAACTCGAGTTCATATGCGACATTCTGATTCAGAGTTGGAGGCGGCGATGATTCAAGTGCCAAAGCGGCGTTGAGCATTTTCTTTTCTTTTATTTTGTAATGATTTTCATAGTTTTCGTTTCTTTTGTTTTTAGAAAATGTATGCGAGATAAACGTTTCATTTTTCTTTTTTAATGAATAAAATGAGATAGTTTATTGCAATGTTTTTGCTAACACTCGTTGATGAGGTGACCCTTAATTTTAAGGGTTTTTGCGAAGTCAAAAAGTTTCTTTTGACTTCCGGTGCGGAGGCATTCTTTAGGCCGGTGCTGGAAGCGAGATTCATTCGCTCATCTTATACCAAACGACAGTCAAGATCAAATACCAAGCTTTCAGGATTCACTTCGGCCTAAAAAGTATGATCGAGGATCGTGCGAGTATTGTCCTCGGCTTTCGTCTTATCCACTTCAGAAGTAATTAAATCGAACTGAAGTATCAAAGGAGTGGTGATCAGCCACTGATTTAATTTTTGCTTTTGCTTTTTCGAATCGAATGTTTGGCCAGAACATCGATTCAGCAAGATGCATTCGCATAAGAAAATACTACTCTACGTGCCGAGCTGATTTTTTTGTCAATTTGGACCAGTAGTTATCCTTTACTTTGAGCATTGAGCTGGTTAACAAAGTTAAAGGTAATTTTATTAGGATATTGACTGAACCCGAAAGCTGTCTACGTACCCCAAAACGGGATCAAGTCAATCGTAGTTCTTAGCAACAATTGTAAGCTTAAATGTCGAGCTGTAATTTCTAAGGGTAGTACTTCCTTAAATTCATCGAATTTCGTGCTCGCTTGACCGATTTTCCATCTATTTTTCCCAGTTTATAGACGCCGGGTTTGACGAT